ACCTAGCAATGGTTAAAGACAAAAAGGACAGTGGAAGGTGAATAGTCTTGAACATTGAATTGTGAACTCGGTGGAGAAAAAAAAATGGAGCTTTACTGTCATATTTTATTTGCAGGTTTTATTTGACTGCAACACCTGCTTTCAATATGATTAACTCTTACTTAGTATGCAATTTTGGCACTGACAACTTCTGTTTTACTTCACTGGAGATGCTGAGTTCCAGCGACAGAGGTATTTGCTCGTATTGTTGTGCTGGAGACATGCCTAATGAGGCAGATCTAATTTGCCATTTGCTGGGTTAATGAAGATACACGCTAAAAAGATCAGGAGGAAAAACAAGAACTAGTACATGAAAGATTAAGAAATCAGCAAGCAATTTAGAGTAAAAATACAAACACTAATACCTCTATGCCTTAGGTTTTTTTGTAGTATCTTTCATCACAGCACAGTTCCTGTAGTGCCGTAGCAGCTACGTGCTGTTCCCAAGTGACATTACATGTTTCCATCAGGCCATCCTGGGCTGCCAGGGCACTCTGTGACAAGCAGCCAGGGACCAGAATCTCACAGAATTTGGGAAAGAGGACTGCTGGTGTGTGCAGCCCAGCCGGTGCCAATCAGGGCTTGCTAAGCCCTGCTTGGGGGTTTGTGTCACAGCAGCAGCAGGGCAGGTTCAGCTGTGCCGTGTTAGGGCTGTTTGATTTTATACCTGCAAGCAGGTTTCTGTCTGTCCCCACTGCTGTCTTCCCATGCAGAGGATGCCCTGAAAGCCAGGCAGCCACTTCTGCTCCCAGATGGGCTTTATGGGCTTACCTCACCCATCCCAGTTGGCACCTCGAGGAAGAGGAGAGCAACCAGGCCAAGTGTGTGCCCCTCTTTCTCATCTCTACCATCCCATTGCCCCAACACACGGTATGACACCTGCTGCAGCAGCTCCTCAGCAGCACTCTGCAGCAAGCACATCCACTGTGTAACATCTCTCTGGAAATACTTCCCAAGAGCCACGTGGAAGCAGGCTGCAACCCTTTCAGTTTGCATGCAGACCTCCTCCCAGCAGTGTAATCCTGCCTTTTATTTCAGTCATGAGCCTTCAGATTGCCTGTGAACTCAGATATGAGACTTCTGAGTGGTAGCAAGCTTGTCTATATTGCTGCTTCAGCAATTAAGTCAACGCATTTCTCTTCCAGTATCCTTCCTTTGAGATTTCCATTCCAGTCTTACATGGGCCTTTGCTGTTGCCTTAGTTAATGTCTTGCATGATTTTCTAAACAAAGTCCTGTGATTACAGTGGAGCTCTAGCTCCTGATAGCGGAATCAAGGAAAATAGTGCATCTCAAAAACATGACATTATGCCCTGCAACAGCAAAGCTCCTTGCTGCCTGCTGCCACCTTCTCTGGAAACAGCCCAGAAGTTGTAGGAATTTACCCCTCACATGGAGGATTACACAGAGTTTAGGAGAGATCGTCTGAGCAGGGTGGGTGTGCAGGGTGGCTCCCCTGCCGAGGAGGCGCCTGCTCAGCGTGACCCAGGGGTGCACCAGGCCAGGCCACACCCAAGCTTTGCATCAGCGTTTCCCTATGACCTCTGTGGCCATTGTCCACACCCAAAGTCCCACTGCTCTGTGAGCAAAGCAGAGTGAGCCCAGCAAGCAAAACTATCAGCAAGTGAGCAGCCAGGGCAGCTGTTTGGGTTGAGGTGGCAGATGAGACCAGCAGGCACAGGATTTCTGGCAGTGGGGGCAGAAGTAGGTTTGGTCAGTCTTTGATGACAATTTCTCTTAACACACAAGGTGGGTTTTCTTCTTCCAGACACGTACTGGAGGTGTCCATATCTGTGTTTCTCACCTGGAGTCCCTTTTAGAGCTGAAGGAGAGAAGCAGCTTCTTCCTGGGCTCAGTGTCTCCTGAGGTGGGCAGCAAAGGCAGTTCAGGGACGTGCATCTCCAGTGACTCTGAACAGAGGCTGGGGCCCTGGTTCAAACATAAAAAGTGGCTTGTACATACCTAAAGGTCACTGGGCAGAAGCTCCCCATTACCACACTGCATCCCTGGGACTCAGTGCACTGACAGGTTGTTAGTACATGCACATTTGTCTCACAGGGGAGCTACCAGAGTACCTTCAGGGCCCCCTCCAGCTGGATTTCTTGGAGGCACATGGAAAATATACACGCTATAAGTAAATAAGGTTCTTTGCTGTTAACTGTGCCTTTATTTAAGGTAGGCGAGGGGCTCTTGCTCAATAGATGTATGGCCCAGGAGGTCTTTGAAAGCTTTCCAATGACTCTAAGGGATTGTGAGCACCAGTGCACACTCTGTGAGCGGGGAGAGGGAGCCTGCAGAGGACCATGATGGACAGGATCTCGTTGTGTGCACACCATAACAGCCCTGGTGCCGACTCCGCATCAGCCCAGAGGCAGACATCTCTCCCTGGTGCGAGTAGAGGACTCACTCTGTGACCTGCACTAGGCAAGCAGAAATGCAAGACTGTCCTGTAAAACCTCAAGGAACCAACCCCAACTTCCCACATGTCCTGTGGCCTACAAGGGTCCACAGTGCTGAGTTGGGCTCCACAGGATGCTGAATGTTTTCAGACTGCTCTCTGGGTAGAGTGGGTTTGGTCTTTCTTAAAAAGTAAAATTTTTGTTAGCAGATGAGATTGTTAAAATATTCACAAGCAGGCTTTCCTGGTGCAGTCAGGCATGCCTGGAGCACCACAGAACACAAGCTCTGGTTTTGCCAAGGACTCTGCATAAAACATCAGGTTACTCATTAGGTACGATATACCCTTGTGGGCAAAAGTGAAATTGCTGGACAGAAGGAGCAACTGTGTCCAAAATGTTCTGTCAAAATATTCAAAATTGAAGGTAGATTTTTCTGGAATGATTTCATCCCCCAACTGTTTTGGGATTACAGTGTCATTTATATCACAGTCCTGTCTTGCTGCCCACAACTATGTATCTGCTGCTACTCTCTGACAACTCTCTTCATCAAACGCTTCCTGGTACAGCTTCACAAGCTGCATTATGACACCAAGGAAAAATCAGTATAAGCAATAAGCTAGTGACAAACAAGGGAAGACAAGTAATTTTGAGGGGGTTGTTGTACAGTATATAGTCATCTGGGCTCATGAAACATACCACATTTCCCCTCGTGCTCATCAGAACTAACTGCAGATGCCATGTCCAAGAAAGCCATCTAACCCATCTGCTACCGG